TATATATATATAACAACACGATTGATTCTATAACTTCCTAGATTAAATAACTATCATTATATTTTATTTATAACTATGAAATATTTAACTGAAATTAATATTTAAACTTAACATTTAAATTACATTTTCATCTTTCTAATACTATGAAAAAAAAAAACAAAAGAAAAACACAAAAAAGCTATGAAATATTTATCTATAATTAATTTTTGAACTTAAACATTTGAATGAAATTCATTTCTAATTTTATGAAAAATAAAAACTATGAAAATAAATGAAATAAAATTATGAAATATTTATTCCCATTCATTTTAAACTAAATATTTGAATTAAATTCATTTTTCTATGCTATAAATCAAATAAAATTATATAATATTTAACACCATTAATTTTAAACTAAACATTTGAATTAAATTCATTGCTAATTTTATGAAAAACAAAAACTATGAAAATAAATCAAATAAAATAATGAAATATTTATCCATATTAATTTTGAACTTAACATTTGAATTAAATTCATTTTTCTATGCTATAAATAAAAAAACAAATCTATGAAATATTTATTTCTATTAATTTTTGAACTAAACATTACAATTAAATCCATTCCTAATTTTATGAAAAACAAAAACTATGAAAATAAATCAAATAAAATAATGAAATATTTATCCACATTAATTTTAAACTTAACATTTGAATTAAATTCATTTTTCTATGCTATAAATAAAAAAACAAATCTATGAAATATTTATTTCTATTAATTTTCAACTAAACATTTGAATTCAATTCATTCTTCTTCCATGCTACGAAAAAATCAAAACTATTAAATTAAATCAAATAAAATTAGAAAATATTCATCCTCAATTATTGTAAACTAAACATTTAAATTAAATTCATTTCTAATGTTATGAAAAACAAAAACTATAAAAATAAATCGAATAAAATTATGAAATATTTATCCACATTAATTTTGAACTTAACATTTGAATTAAATTCATTTGTCTATGCTACGAAAATTCAAAACTATGAAAATAAATCAAATAAAATAATGAAATATTTATCCACATTAATTTTAAACTTAACATTTGAATTAAATTCATTTTTCTATGCTATAAATAAAATAAAAAATCTATGAAATATTTCTTTCTATTAATTTTCAACTAAACATTTGAATTCAATTCATTCTTCTTCCATGCTACGAAAAATCAAAACTATTAAATTAAATCAAATAAAATTAGAAAATATTCATCCTCAATTATTGTAAACTAAACATTTGAATTAAATTCATTTCTACTACATAAAAAAAAAAAAAAACAAACAAACAATAAGATCAATTTCATTTCTCAAATAATATTAATAATATTAATAACAATTATATATACACGAACAATATACAATAATTAAATTTCCAATGAACATTACTACTAGATTCAACTAAATATTTGAACTATGATAATTGATAAAGACATTAATTAATGATATTTCAATCACCAGAATAGAAACATAGATGAAAAAACAAAGAATGATAAAAAAAAGAAAATAAAAACAAACTACGAATCCAAAAAAATAATAATAATAATAATAATAATAATAATAATACAGGAAAATCCTTTCAGATAGACAAAGCAACAACAAAAAAAAAAAAAAANAAATCGCAGCAAAATCGCAAAGTTTTCCGCAAAAAGATAAATGGGGTGAGAAGAGAGAGAGAGAGAGAGAGAGAGAGAGAGGAGGGTGTCTCTCCCTTATCTTCGGTGAAGCAGGATTCACTTCCGGTCGAGGTCGTGCTGCACCCTTGACCTCGATCTTCCTCTCTCTCTCTCTCTCTCTCTCTTTCTCTCTCACACACACACACGACACGACACGACACGACACGATACGAAACGAGCAGGTGCGCGTGCTCGTGCAGTGCGCTTTCGTTTACAAAAAAGAAACATCTAACAAACAAACAAACAAACAAAAAAGAAACAAAATAAAAGGATGAATGAAAGAAAAAAAAACAAAAAATACGAGAAAGAGAAAAATAGAGAGAGCAGGATGGATGTGTTATTAGAAAATTTTGGAATGTTTTCAGTCGGAATAAAATGCCAGAGAGAGAGAGAGAAAGAGAGAAAGAGAGAGAGAGAGTTTTCTTAGTAGTGAATTGTGAAAACAATTGAAAAGAATAGAAAAGGCTAAACCTAGCTTTTTCTAGTTTAGAAACGAATGCATTTCCTATTCATATCTGACGATGCGTACTTATTTCAAACAAATAGAAAAATAGTCGAGAACAGAAAAAAAAGCAAAGTTGAACAATTTATTGTTTATTGGAGGAATTGGGGGGATAAGAACTAAATGATTGCAAATTTTGTTTTACATCTAATTCAATTTTTTGATTGAAATGATTAGAAATTTGATGAACGTTGCATTATGACACTGTTCGATTGATTTTGACCGATGACAAAAGATCATTAATAAAAATGGACAGTACTTAATTGAATACACTTACACAATTAGATTTTTATATAAGTAAATATAGCATAAATGCATATTTA